TTAAAATGCTGCTTTACTTACCCCGCCCGCATATTTAACAAAGTAGCCGGCCAACTCTGCAGATTTCACATCGGCGGTGTACAGATACATGCCATCAGCCTGTATGGGGGATATGTATTTTTAACTCCATTTTTATATCTATCATAGATATAAGTTTCTTACCAGTGGTGTCGCATGTTCAGGATAAACATGTACCTTGTTCGAAGCATCCAGTAACAGAATGCCCTTCACAAAGTCATTTTCCGTTTCTCCCAGCAACGAGAGCTGCTTGATTTTGTAGTCCAGCTGAACGAGACCACCTTCTGCTACTTTGCCCGTAATAGGATTAAAACGATAGAGCACACCATTGCCGTTGACCTGGGGAAGTTTAGAATAAGCGTGGGAACTATGGAATTTGTCAGTCCGACTTACAGCATTCTTGCCCAAAATCGTGCACAAAGGCTGAAGGGGAAAGTGTTTGGCCGAGCGCTGGACAATCAGTCGCATCTGTTCGTCGTTAGCGAAGCCAATAACATTCGAAAGATACAACTGCCAGTGATGCTTTCCAGAGACATTGTCAATGCCAAAAATCTTTCCAGCGCGCGTTAGTAAAACCAGCATCTTGTGGAGACCAAAGGAATCCCTGACCAACCCGGCTCGCTGGGTGTCCGTAGGAGGCGGACCTAGACCGATAACATGAAGGAACAAGCTCCGAATCTGCACAGCTTGAGTGGTGATGCGACGCAAAAAGGCACTGGCAATGTCTCCTGTTCAAATGGTGAAAACATAAATATTAGTGAACAACTTTAGTGTAAATTAAAATGGGACTTTTTATTAAACTTTAACGAACTACCAATTCAATATTGTGCTGTAAAAAAGCTTTGCAATGCACTAGCATTAAACTAGCAAATCATGCTTGAATTAGTAAACATTCGTACTTTCTATTAAAATGAAAACCATTAAATTCAAAAATGTTAATCACGTAACAAACAATACTGAATGATTAGCTTGTAGTGAACGTTCACTTACTCTCAAAACTTGTGAAATCCCCTTTGGTATGCATATTCAATAATAAATGTTATGAGTTTACCTTAAGGTAGTGGATAAGTCAAGCACACTCACCGGCCTTGCCCTTCATCTCGTTCTCCAATGTACCCTCGCTATCGGCCAGCGGCAGATCCACAAACTGCGAGTCGATCACATTGGCCAGCGCCTCCTCGCGCGACCAGCGAACGCGTCCCTGCTGCACTGCCACAATGGACTCCGAGGTGGTGCTAAACAGAAACATACAGTTCTTGCCCTCGCCATTGCGCTTTTGCTTGCAGTCGAAGTTGTTCAGCGATGGAGTGCCAAAATGCTCGGGGAACACCAGACTCTGCTCCAAGTCAGCTGCCGGTGCACAGTTATCCAGATACAGAGCATTGATCCTGAGAATCTGTCGAAACGCACATTAAAAGGAACAATAATTACATAATTAATATAATAGTTCGTATAAGTTTAAACCTACACCAGAAGACAGATCTGCATACGCCAAGATCTTGCGATAGTTAAAGCTGCCCACGGCGTAGCTAGAGCTTTGCAGACCACCGCAGATGGATTGGTCCTTGTTGACACTAATTGGCTTGCCATCCACAATCACAACACCATTCAGGCCCTGTAGAAATATTTTGACGAATTAGAACTTCACTATATCGTACAACTTAACATAAACAATCTATTAGCTGAGCCAAAACGGTTTCAACATCGTTAGAATAAAAGTTAAAGTCTTGACTTACCATTAAGGCCTGAGTTTTTCCCTTCGGCTCCGTCTCGAGCGAAGTACGAATCACCTGACCGCTTTTGGAAACGAGATCTAGGCTAATTAGCTGCTTTCCCTCCGTACAAACGTAGAATGTGCCGCTGAGGGTGCAGCTCTCTTGCGTGATCCAGGGAGCTATTACCTTGCTGGTGCTACCAGTGCTGTGGCCCGAGCTGGCGAAATATGCTGTAACCTCCAGGTGGCTGCGCCAGGCAGGAAGCACGTGGTATAGCACAGATTTGCTGTATATCCACAAGGCGTCCTGGGCCCGCTCTGTGTTTATTGGCATGATGGACCACTCCCACTCAAGGGCCCCCATATTGGTGTTCCAACCGCGCACCAAAGCGGGCGCGTGTCCCTGAACGGTTAGCATGTCGAAGCCCAGGTTGCTGCCCATAGGAGCGGCGGCCGTCTCGCTGCTGTCATCGGAGAATCCACTCACCTGGAGCAGCTTGATGTCGCCGCGCGGCTTCTGCTCGAGCACCTGCCGCCACACCAACTCGCCGGTCTTCACGCACAGACTGGCCACCACTCCTTCATGAGTGCTGACCAGAATCCGCGGCTGAAAGTGGTTGAGGTCCACGCGAGACTGCTTCAGTGCTCCCACATTAACGCCTCGCCTGCAAAGCGACATATATCCGCCGGATTAACGCCGGGTCAATGGTCAGATATCGTACCATACTTACCAGTCGAACTTCTTGATCTGGTCTTCGTACAGCGCCGAGCAGGTGCCCAGTAGAAGCGCCACCGAAAGGCCGGCCAGTAACCACTTCTCCTGCATGTCGTCCGCCTTACTTTCTGCCCTTCGACTAGCGCGAACTCTGATTGTTTAACTTTCGACGTATTTTTATGTTATAAATTAATAGAAATCCACATCAATTCGTGTTTTCCGTCATGGCAAAAGGGATGAGAAGACGAAATTAGAGCAGGGTTGGCTGGTGATTGCCTTATCGATATTTTATCGGATTCACAACCGATATTCAAGGCACAGCTGGTAAACCGCCTTTTCACGGATGGCAAACCATTTGGCCCTCAGCGCTTCATTTGAATTTATCGCTTGAGATAAATCCCTCGCGAGGCGTGAGGAGAAATGGCTTTACATTTTGCGGCGTAGAGGGCTATTTTTGCTGCAGTTGCGGATCCAGTGTGAATGATTTCAAATATTCATTGTGCTTGCAGCGATAACTGTGAACTGAAATCCATCACTAGCGGTGCCATCTCTAATAAGCAATAAATATCTTCAAAAGGAGTACGTTTTTTCTCTAAGAAGCGCATTAAAATGTTTGAAAAGAAGAGCGAAAAGGTTAAGCAAGGTGAGCACAAACCGCGGGATGACGGCGTAGAGTTGGAGAGTCAGTTTATCATGCGCGTGCCGAAGGTAAGTCAGAGCACATCAAACAAACATCAACTGATCACCTACACCCGCAGGAACTGGCGGACACGGTCCATGAGGCAATAAATGCTGGCACCATAAAGGATCGGCTATCCATCCAACTCGATCAGGATCTGAGGTACGGTGAAGTGCGAGTAGATGATCAGATATTGTACACGAAGCTCGTGGATTTGCCCACTGTGGTGGAGAGCTACAAGACCATTGACAACAAGAGCTTCTACAAGTCGGCAGACATCTGCCAGATACTCATTTGCAAGGAGGAGCCGGAGGACGAGACGGAGAAGGAGTCGCCTAATAAAAACAAAAAGAAGGATCCCAACAAGGTGGACAAAAAGTACCTCTTTCCGCACGGCATCACACCCCCCTGCAAGAATGTTAGGAAACGACGATTCCGCAAAACTCTAAAGAAAAAAAATGTCGAAGCTCCTGAAATCGAGAAGGAAGTGAAGCACCTGCTCCGCATTGACAACGAGGCCGTTCGAGTGGACTATGAAATCATAAACGAAGAGGACAAGCCAATGGATGAACTGGAACAATCGGACATCAAGCCCTACAACGATGCAGATGACGATCTGCAGGACGAAACCACCATGCATGCCAGCGAAAAGACGATCATGGAAATGAGCTCCCAGCGGGACATCAATGTGGAGTCCGATGATGATGAAGCCAGCAACTTTCCCTCCCACCGGGCGCCGAACATGGGAGTTGCAGTTCACGACATCTTCGGCGAGGAAGTGTCCACCACGGATGACGAGGATGAGCCGGATCGGGGAAACAACAACATGCAGCGGCGGGAGATGGAGGAATCCTCACGCCTCTCGGCTGATGATTCACGGATGTCGGACTTCTTTGGCGCTGGTGGCAGTAATACCGGAGCGGGCGGCGTAAAAATGGATCAGAACGAGTTTAGCAAGTCTATGTTTGGGCATGAAGCCAGCAGTCCTAAGCTAAGCGCCGCCGGGTCGAGCTCCAACCTTGCTGCTCCCAGTGGCTTCTACGATAGCCAAATGCTTGCCAAGCGAGAGGAGTTTGAGAACATGGAATTCATAGACGAACCGCAGCCGCAGTACACGCAGCAACAGGTGCAGCAAAAGATCAATCAACTGACTCGGCAGATAAGTGAACTGAAGGCGCAGCAGGTGCAGAAGTCAACGGAAATCGCTTCCATTCAGAATGCCACACTCAAGCAACGAATGCAGGAAACGCTTGATAATCTCTACACACAGGTTATTGAAAGAGAACTGGAGCTGAAGGACTTTGAGAATATGCTGGAGTCTTAAGAAGAATATAGAATACACATGGGCTGTTCGTGGACTAGCATAAGTTGTATTTAAACTATGTACATACTTATTTAGATCTTATTTAAAACTATTTATGATATCAACTCCGTTTTCTGTTGGTAAAGTGCAACTGGACGGCGAATTGGACACTTCAGACCATAAACCTTTGCCAAGAAATTTTGCCCTATTATTGGTCAACTCATTATTTGTGTAAGATTCAAGTGTTTCCTCAGTACTGATAAGAAATGATTATATCGCTTTCTTGTAAGGCAACAGAGTACGACAAATGAATCTGTTTCTTCAGTGTTATTGCAGTGTCTTAATAGGCTTATCATCAATTAATAATCGAAAATTCTAAAGAAACATATCTGAATCAGTTGAGTGCCTCCAGTGCTTGTCGAGCCCATGATCTCCTTATGAAATGGTGCATTGCCGCGCAGAGTCACTGGCATAGCCTGATTAATGGCACCTTGGAATAAACTGGTCGATGTCATAGGCGTAATTTCATATCTTCGAGGCTTTTCATGCATAGAAGATAAAGACAGGTTCATTAATAGTCTAACTGTCTTTATTATCGGCATTTGCAAAAAACAAATTTTTGTGGTGTTCAGGATGGGCAACAAAGAGTTATGTATTTTGTACTATGAGTAAAGTTCCAGAGGCAAAACCAGACTTTAATATGTGTCTTTTAGCTTGGGGAAGCACGTGGGCTATTTACTTAAGATCTAACAAAGTAGAGCGTAAATAGGAATGGGTGGGTGCTAGGTACACTAAATGCAAAATTTGTGACAGTAATTCCGAGCCCTCTATGGCTATTTATACTGCTTTTTTTTCTTGTTTTGTAGTGGGCAAAACTGGTTTCCAAAAGTCTTTTTCGATCACCAGCTTAACTCATCGGGCAACCCACCGGGATATTCGCCAGTGAGACAGGCGGTGCAGTGGCCCGTTGCCTTGGACTTGCCATCGCCTGCATCCCGATGCTTCAGTTGGACAGCCTCGACTAGTCCCTCCACACTAAGATAAGCCAGACTGTCGGCGCCCACATGCCTGGCTAGTTGTTCGGGGTTCAGCTTGTTGGCAATCAGTTCCTCTCGAGTCGGAATATTTATACCCATATAGCATGGGTACTGGAGCGGCGGGCTGGCAATTCGGATGTGCACCTCCCGGGCGCCTGCATCCCGCAGCAACTTGATTATTGGTCCAATGGTGTTGCCTCGCACGATGGAATCGTCTATCAAGACCAATCTCTTGCCAGTCACGTTCTCGGACAGGGCTCCAAACTTCTTGGCTACTCCCAGTTGCCGCAACCGGGTAGAGGGTTGAATAAATGTTCGTCCCACGTAGCGATTCCTGCAGAGAACCTCTACAAATTCAATGCCAGACTCACGGGCATAGCCATGCGCCGCTGCTGTACCAGACTCGGGAACGGAACTCACAATATCCGCCTCCACTGGAGCCTCTCGCCACAGCTGCCGGCCGCACTGCAGCCTCACTGTGTAGACCATCTGACCCTCGAAGATGCTGTCTCCGCGTGCGAAGTAAACGTACTCAAATATACAAAAAGCCATGCGCTTGAAGTCTGGTCTTTCCACAATATCCACCGTGCGGTAGCCACTCCGTGACAGTTCCACTATCTCTCCGGGTTCCACTTCGCGGACGTACCTTGCGCCGATCGACAGGAAACCACAGCTCTCACTGGAAACCACCCAACCATCGGCGGGTGTGTCTGAGTTGTTGCCGTGCCCAGCATTAATGGGCACTATCTTGCCAATGCACAGCGGCCTATTGCCATAGGTGTCCCTCACAGCGTAGATTTTATCCTTTAGCATGATCACCAGCGAGTAGGAGAGCGGCGCCAGCATCATGAAATGCCTGATCCTGGCTGGCCAGTTGGGTCCATCCAGTTCGGAAACATCCTCCGGAGCGCAGCACAGCGACTGGGCGATCAACTCACTGTCGCTGTGGGTGGATAAACCCACGCCTCTGGCCAAAACCTCCCTCCTCAGAGATTCGTTGTTTACAAGCTCACCATTGTGGGCCAGGGCCATTGTTCCATGGGTCGTATGCACCACGAAGGGCTGACAGTTGACCACTCCGGATCCGCCAGCGGTCGAGTAGCGCGTATGACCGATGCCCAGGTTGCCACGAAGCATCTTCATGGAGTCATCGTTGAACAGGGTGCTGATCATCCCCATGCCCTTGTGCACGTTGAAGTTCTTGGAGGACTTGCCCTCGCTGGTCGCTATGCCGGCAGACTCCTGCCCGCGATGCTGCAGTGCAACCAGTCCCAAACAGATCACGTGCGCAATGTCCATTTGGGTGGGCCAGTCTCCGCAAGCGATGGCCCCAAAAACGCCGCACTCGTGCGTTAAACCGGTTAGCTCCTTGATGGCAGAGATGGATTCCGATGCCATTCTGGAGGTCACCTCCTCAGCTGGTTCCACCTGTTGCTGCTCGACCACGCGCACATGTTGTTGTTGCTGCTGCGACTGTTGCTGTGGCGCTGACATGTTGCTGCTGCGAAATATGTGCAATATGGTAGTTGAGGGCAACTGATTGCAGCTAGTGGCGCGGTTGACGGCGATCTGATTTACCTGCTGGTTTACGCAACGGTTTTATACAAGAAAAATCCTCGCACGCGCAGCTTAGTTTTTCCCGATTCGGTCGAGATCAAGCCCAATATCGATCGGTCGCTGATATCGATAGTTCTGGGTGCTGCTGGATCGATAGCATTATGTTGTCTGTATTTTCAAATTGGAATTTAAATCACACATTGAATCATATTTAATAAATCTTATATCTAATTAAACTGCTCAAAGCGAAATATATTTTACGATTTGGTTCTTCTTTATTGTATAATAAAAGTAATCGAAATTAATAGCTGCTACTACTTTAAATGCTACATACATATATTACATTTAAATTGATTTACATATTTCAAAATGATCACTAATATAAATAAAAAGGCCGGCTATTGAAAGAAAGGTAGATAGGTTTCAAGTTTTTCCACTGGACCATTTATCCGTTCAAAGATAAGGTATATATTAGAAAAAATGCACAGCAGGAACATTTTTACAAAAACAGATTCGTGTATACATTTGATAAATATCAAATTGAAATGTCAACAAATGTTAAATTTGTTGGTTCTTTATGAGGAGTCGAAATCAACGAAAACGGTTACTTAAGTACATGATTCGATAGACGAATTCCGCTTTGTCCATCGCGCAATTTGATTGATAAGATAACTGATGGAATAACTATTTCGAAGCACAAGCCGTGCGACGATTAGTAGTGCCTCCTTCAGCGAAGCCTCCTTTTCCAGACTGACCTATAATATCGCTATTTCGACGAGCTGAGCTTCTCGCTAAAGAACGGAGCCTCCTTCAGCTTGCCCTTGTCCGCCTCGTCGAGGAACGCCTTGGCCTGCTCGATGTCCTCCCGGATAGCGGCAATTAGTGCCTCCAGGGAGTCGAAACTGCGCTCTGGTCGCAGGTACCCCACAATGCATATCTTAAGTATCTGGCCGTACAGGTCACAGTTGAAATCGTGCAGCATGTGTGTCTCCACGCTCTTCTCCTTGTTGTTGTAGAAGGGATTCCAGCCGACGCTGAGGACCATCTTGTACACAGGTCCATTATCCACGTTTGCCCAGCCGTAGTACGCGCCAGTGGGCAGGGATTCCGGCAGCGATTTCACCACCTCCAGCGGAAAGTTAGCTAACAAGTGGTTTGGTTATCAATTAGCAATGACCTTCGTGTTTTGCTTAACGTCGCCACCAACCTGTCGGGATGCCCAGCTCTTTAGAGCCGCGTCCGAAGCCCCGGACAATCTCGCCCCCAGCGAAGAGAGGCAGTTGGCTCAGCATTTTCCGGATTTCCTTGCAGTCTGACCCAGATGTACTACGCTGGCGCTTGAAATTAATATCACAGGCCAACGGGCGGTTGATGTGCGGTATTTTCTGCGACCGCAAAGCGCTGCGGGCCAATTTATCAAGTCTGACAAGGAATCAAACGTGGTTCTCTACAGAGCGTGTATGTTGTGATTGCCAACTAGCCACTCACATAACTATTCCTAGTTCCATTGATCGGCATAATATTCATAAACACACAGACAAATTTTCCGCATTCATAAAGTGTATCAGCTGTTACCGACGGGCTGCCAACCTGTTTCAGCTATTTGGTTCTGCCACTTAACGACATATTTTTACAAGCAGATTTTATTTTAGATGTAAAAAAAAAACAGTACATTAATGATTCAAATATTAAAATCCTTTTTAAATTTACTGGAGACTTACATTTTATTTCGAAAAGCACAGTTTTCATTGTATTATTTATAGCATTTTTAGGATTATATATAGGAAAAATTGCAGTACCTGAAAAATATTTTTTTATTTTATTTTCTCTGGTCCAACTATATAAATTTATCCATTGCCTTAATGTATTTCTTATTTGGTTTTAAATCAAAAGAAAGTTTTATTGTGAATATTTTTCTCCTATGCATATTAATATGCACGTTTAAAATACAAATCCCTTAAATGTGAATAATTTGTTTGCCAAATTAAAAAATAAAATTCTCAGTGCTTCGGCGGATTATTTGCAGCTCTCCAAAAAGAGAACATTGTGTAGAATGAGTAACCAATCCCACTTCTCAAAAATGTACCGTTTATTTTTATGAATTACCAGCGATGATCGATTCAAATAACTGTAAGTCCAACGAAGCGGGATTATTAGTTTGCAAAAACAACGCCAAATGTCGTAAACTGTTCCTTTATTGAAAAGTATTGCATTTGGTTGCAGATAAAGATGATGAAGAGCGCGAAGAACGCATGTCGGACTTGTATGGACGAGACCGCCATCCTGGTAGATATATTCACCCATGTGCGGGATCCTGCGCTCGACGAGTCGGAGATGAGCCTCTCGCACATTCTGGCCAGGTGCACCGACCGCCCAGTGAAACGCGGCGACCCCCTGCCGCAGTACATCTGCTTGCCCTGCGTCCTGGCCGTCCAGAATGCTTTCCGCTTCAAGTGGAAGAGCGAGCAGAGCTACCAACACTTTTTCCGCCTCCTTAACCAGTCGAGTAGTCCGGAAGGCCGTTTGCATTCAATTGCTTCTCATCAGGATGAGAATCAAACCCAGAAAATGCAGCTCAAAAGCGGTCGTCAAGAGGACTTGCAGCAAGTGTCCAAAACGCAGAAGTCTGAAGATGATTTAGGTCAAAAACATACACTTCAAGCGAAGCTCCAAGAGAACCATGACGATGGTCCACCGCAGACTTTTAACCCGCATCCTCGCTGGCGGACTTGTCGCACTGAAGCGACCGGAGACAGGATCCCAAAGGAAGCTCCAAGGTAAGACAATTGGAAAACCTATTTAACACATTACTTTAAAAGCATTCCCTATCCGGCTTTCAGAAGTACCAAAATAATTAATCCACAGGTGCGTTGCAATGCCAATGGCTACTACAAGTGCCCGCATTGCTCTAAGAGGTTTAATTCTCAGACCCAGCTATGGACTCACATCAGTGATCTGTGCAACAGGTGCCCCTACTGCCCACGCTCTTATAAGCAAAAGTCGAACCTAAAGCGGCACTTGCAAAACCACGTAGGCAAGCCAGCGCACAAGTGTTTCCACTGCTCGAAGGCTTTCATGCGAAAAGATCACCTTAAAAAGCACCTTAGCACCCACGACAGAGACGGTCCGCTCTCCTGCACCCAGTGCTCAGCGGTATTCATCGAGTATGTTCAGCTGGAAATCCATCGCAGAGAGCATCTACTACAGGCAAGCTCTATACAATCCGAGTCCACAAAGAAACCTGACTCGAAGGACAGCGATCAAGCGCAGGATCTGAAACCAAACTGCACTGAGAACAGCTTGAAAGGCATGTCTAGCAGTCCGACTACGCTTAATCCGTAAGTTTAGAATTCCACTAGTTTAATGTAGAATCCAGTATACTCTAGATCCGCTTAACAGTATGTAACGAGGAAATAACGCGTCTTGTCCGTCTCGGAAAGCAAGTTTGTTTCAGAACTTTGATGTTATTATTTTCTGTGCCAAAAAAGGAAAATTTGTCCTTCGCACAAACGACGAAATCGACTTTAACGTAATCTCTTGTTTCCAGAATTGGCGATCTCAACTCCGATAGCTATTTTGCGAAAGAAAATTGGAATAATCACAATATTCTTAAACCACGAGGGTTACGGTGAGTTACAGTCTGGATATATAGAAGCGGCTATCCTTCTGCAATTAAATATTTACCAACTACATCTTTCCAGCGACGGGGAGCCCAAAAAACGGAGTGAAGGTCTTCCAGGGACCGCTAAACATGGAGATGTCAAAGAGAACGAAATCCAGATTTCGGATCGGATTCGTAGCCCACTAGTCGAGTAAGCACATTGTTGGGATTGGTTATCTGTTCTAAACATACCTTTCTATACCCTACTATTTATATACTAGATTCGTCTAAAAGTATGTAACTGGTAAAAGGAAAAGCTTCAGGTTCTATAAAGAACGGGATAGACAGGATACTAGTTTGTCTGAAATTTGTGTCAGAGCCCACTAACGATATCTCTTATTTGTTATCAACAGGAAACCAAGATGCCATATTTGCCTAAAGAAGTTCTATAGTATCTACAACCTGAAACGGCATATGCTCACTCACAATCTGTTTCGTTGCGAATATTGCTCATTGGTATTTGTAGATGTTGACTACTTGCGAAAGCACAAAACCCGCATTCACAGCAACAACTTAACGATTCAAGAGAAGATCATGTCCAAACGGATGGCTAGTGGTATTACTCCTGGAAAACAGCCATTGAAAGCAGCACATTAATATAAAATGAATATAAACGATTTATAGTTATAAATATGACCGAAGGCCTACACTTCTGTTTTTTGATGCTTACGCTGCGTTTCCTTAATACAGCTATAGTTTTACCATTTGAAATATGATTCTGTTGACAGAAATTACATTTATTTTATTCTTACTTTCATAAGCTCACAATTAATATTACGTTTTTCAATTGTATATCCCACAAATATACTGGTTAGATTCCGCATATATGTATGTATCTTTAGAGCTTCGGATTTATTTCTTATTGCCTTGCTGGCGTTTTGGGAGGGCAAAAAGGATCCAAACATCTTAAAAATCCGTATTCTTTATTAAATGATTGTCTTTAATTGAATTGTACGGTTGGTTTATAATATGTTCTTTATGTATCAAAATAAATGAAATATATATGTATACATATTTTTGTTTTTTTTTAATTAATTTATATGGAGTAAATAAACATACGATAACGATTATACAAAATATAACATCAACATGTTTTTTTAATTATTTCTTATGGAGTAAATAAACATACGATAACGATTATACAAAATATAACATCAATCCTTAAAGGAAGTCTCTATAGAATTAATACACAATTGGAATCAATTGAAAATGAATTCATATAATTCATATGAATTCATATAAGGCACTTGTAAATTTGAAATTGTAAAGCTTTTGTATACGAAACTTTTAAATGAAAACAAACAACATAAACTTTTTAAATAGATAATTAACGACTTAAAATATAGTTTCCTCACATCGCAAACAGTTTGTTCAGCTCCCCGGGGTTGAGACCACCGCCAACACATCTGGGCACAACTCCTCCTTCCTCTGGAACCACCACTTTGGCAATGTTCAGCTTGTAATCTTGCAGGGACTTAATTCGTTGCTCTACAGTGTCCTGACACATGTAGCGGTAGATGAAGGTGGGCTTAGTTTGACCATATCGATAGATGCGGTCCTGAGCCTGTCGCTCCAGCTGCGGGTTCCAGTGGAGGTCCACAATTAGCATATGATTGGCCACGTTCAGATTCAGTCCCACACCGCCAGCGGTGAGGGAGAGTAGGAGCACGCGCTTGTCGTTATTGGTGTTAAAGTCTTGCAGCACCAGCTCGCGATCTTTGGCGCTTAACTGGCCATTAAAGTCAAGTGTTTCCCATGACAGATCCTGCAGTCGTTTACGGATGATGGTGAGATAGCTCACCCACTGTGATGTAACAATGATTTTGTCGTTGGTGCCCGTGAGAAGTTCCTCTAGCTTATTAATGATCAGCTGTAGTTTGGCAGAAGGGCGCATAAACTGAAATATGGGATTCTGGGGATTAAGCAGTTCAAGAGCCCTGGCACTATCTAATAGATCATCAGAAGAACAGTCCGATGGTAGGTCATCACCAGAATGCCACGGCACATTCTCCTCCTTAATTTCATCTTTTTTGACTTCTAACATGAAATTTTTAACTCTCTGAGTACTGTCCTCTTCCTCACAGGAGTCCTCTACCCCAGCGGTTGCGTCAAACTTATCCAAATCTGCGAGGACATCCATCTTGAGCTGGCCCTCCACGTCTGAGGCATCCACCTTCACACTCTGAACGTCTTCGGCTGTTAAAGCTCCACTCAGCATCTGGCGGAAAATGTAGAGTTTGACTATGTGGCGATAAAATGAAATAACTATATTCACCCCAAGTATTAGTCCCGGATGGCAACAAAATTGTCGCAGCCGCAGCAGTAGCACCAGGGTATATATACTAAAGATCTTTTCTCCCGGATTGAAGCCAAGCAACATATGAAATCTATCGTAAATCTCGTTGTGCCGTTCGTCAAAGATTTGTTCGTTTATAAACTGTGGGGTTCTTTCCAGAGCGTTATAATTTAAATCACTGTTGCCCTTCTCCCGTTGTTGCAGGATGCGTGTATAGATTTTTTTGGATATGGCAGACAGGATTTGATATACGGCCATTTCAGGTTTCGAAAGCTGTACGCATATAAGTTCAACCTTTAAGGAAGGCAGCGCAGGCATATCCCCAGATGCCTGCAGTTGTTGCTTGGTCCTGCGCAGCATTAATGGTTTTATTAAAAAGTTGAGCCGGCGATGGCCGAGCATGCTTTCATTTAGGTATCTATTCCACTGCTGGAGGTCCTGAAAGTTTGGTACATTTAAAAACCGCAGCAGAGCGAACACATCGACGGCCCGATTTTGAACAGGAGTGCCAGTCAAGGCCCAATGACAACGGGCTCGCAACTGACATACAGAGCTACAGAAACTGGTTTCTGGATTCCGAATGATGTGAGCCTCGTCGAGGATCACCCTGTTCCAGTGAACGGCGAAGAGCGGGGAAGCGTTCCCATATCGTGTAAGCTCGCTTACTAAGAGATTATACGAGGTAATCACTAAATCGGAGCTCCTGAATGCCTCTATTCCAATTTCATGGCGATTGGGTCCGTGAAAAGTCAGCACCCTAATGGCATTTGGCGCCACCTTGGAGGTTACCTCCTGGCCCCACTGGCATATTACGTTCATGGGGCAAACAACTAATGTGTTGGCCGACGGAAACCGACCGCTTGCAAAGTGTTCCTCCCCTTCATCCGAACTGAAAACCTCTTGTTCAGGCCTCTTTGCCACCAACTCGTTCTTTTCATCCTCCACTACCTCCTCGTCTATATCTTCATCATCTAATATTGGAAATTGGCTGTTTTTTTTAGTGTTGGCTTGGCAGACGCGTTTCTCCGGCGGCTCGTACTTTTCCTCCTCTCCAGACTCTTCTTCATCATCAAACATGCTGATTTTTCGGATTTTCTTGGTATGTATGTATTTCTGCGTCCACTTTAACTTCAAGGCCCGCTGATTTTCTTCCCGTTTACTGCTATTAGTTTCTTCTGATGCCAATATTAGAGCTATCATAGATAGAGTTTTTCCCAGACCCATGTCGTCGGCAAGGATTCCTCCACAGATCTTTTGACGCTCGCGAAATTGCATCCATTTCAAGCCAGACTGCTGATGTTTTAGCAGGGGAACCAACAGAAAGGCGGGTTGCCTTTCCAAGTCATCGACTGTAGGACCCGGCTGAATGGGCTCATAAAGGGTCTACAAAATATATGCATTTTAAGTTTAGGCATAATAACTCTATTAAATAGTTAAATATAATAAACATAATGAACAAGTGGATTTTTGATAGATTTCAACTGAATTGTCAAAAGTCACGAAAAGAAATAGTTCATAAGTGCAAGAACGCGTATTTAAAGATTTAAAAATATACTATATAGTATAGACGTATAGACTTATAAAAACAATCAAGCCTGTTTATCAAACCATTAAACCCTTGTGCAGTATACCTTTCAAGTCAGTCTTTTACCTTCAGGCTGTCAATTATGTTGCTCTTGTGCTGATAGAACTGGGCCGCGGTGTAGTTCGCCTTTTGTCGATAGCGGTTCAGCCCGGAGTACAAATTGCTCCACTGGGGCTGCTCAGTTTGGTCCACCTGTTCCGAGACATCTTCGATCTTAATCGCCTGCTGATCCTCACGCACACGCAACGTGAGGAGGAATTCGCCCAGTGCCTCCAGGCGGGCATTGAGCTTCTCCAAGTGCGACTTCAATTCGCAGAGCTCCTTGTTGTTGGACCCGTTCTCTTCCAGTTGCCGCTGCTGCTCCTCCAACGTGAGCATCTTTTGCACCAGCTGATCGATCTGTGTTTTCTTTTCGGTATACTCCGAAGCACTGACAAAAATTACACATTCGTTGTCTGCATATTCTGTTGGGGTAAATCGATGTAAGAGGATGTGCCATTGGAAGTTCCAGGCCCTTACCACTTGACAATTCTAGACTGTCATTCAGCTCAGGCTCCAACCGGATGTTAATTTCATCAGAGCTCCAGGAACTGCAACAGGGCGGCGACTCTGATTTCGAGCCTGGACTCTGTGGACCTGAAAACGAATAGATTAGAAAAATAACTAAGTAAATGCTCCACCGAAAACCTACTTTCTGGTGCCATTTTAATATATAAGATTTTAATTAAGCTCGAAATATGGAGCGACTTAAATCTTTAAAAGTAGTCGCCAGGTTATCGATAAGCGCTTTTGAAAGTAGCCGATAATTTCGTAGCGGAGTGTTCACACTGTGGCAAGAAGATACCAACAATGGAATACATACTGGATTACTACAAATTAGTAATCTCATTTTTTTAAGTTTAAAATAATTTGTTTGGTAGTCTTACAAAAAAATGTGTCCTTAAATAAACATTTTATCGCGTTACAGTCCACAAAATATATCCGGCTCAAAGTTCTGCTCTTTAAAATATCGATAGTTTCTTGCATTTTTTCTCCCAGTTGGCATCTCCGTAACGAATGTCATTCTGAAATAAATGGCGCTGATTTACAAGCATTTTTCGTAAAATACCTGTAGCTAAAAATGTCCAGTGAAAGCGAGCCCTATTATAGCGAGGAGGCGGAGGATTCAGTGCTCAACAACTCCACTTTAGGTGAGTAATTGATGGAGCGGAATAGGTTTGGTGCCCAGTGCATATCATTTACTTAACATGCAATACAGGCCGATCAAGGAAATCCTCGCGACGCAGCAAATCCTCGCGCCCTAGCAGCGCTGGCGTGGTTATAGATGAAACGAAATCAGACGAGGAGTTCCAGACGAGTGAGTCAGCGCAATCCGAAGAGTCCGGTGAATCCGAAAACTCACAGAATTCCCAGGATTCTGACAACTCTGAGGACGACAGCGTTCGTCCGCCCGCCAGAAGCACTAGGATGAAGCGATTGGGAATCTCCTCCGATAGCGAAGATGAGGATGACGAGTTGGAACAGCGCGCTTTGTCTCCCAGCACCCGCATGAGCATCACTGGGGTGCGACCTCAGGATCTCAGCGATGACGACAGCGAGATCGATTATAGCGATGGAGAGCAGGAGGCGCCCCTGGAGGCAGCAACTGCCGAAACGGTTGTGCCGCGCTACACCACCCAGTTTGCTGATAATATACAGAACGCCCTCCACTCGACGCTTGGTGCTGCGGATTCTGAGATCTTGGACGACTCTAGTGGCAGCGATGTGCTCATACTCAGCAACAAAGAGACACCAATTGAGATACTTTCCAGCACAGACGACGATGTTAGCACCAATAAGGAAAACATGACCGGTCCTCCGTTTGTACGCGCATCTAAGTCTTTCTCGCCCAGAAGCAGTGCTGGCGCTCCGGTGGTCAAGACGAGCAAGAAACTCAGTCAGCCAACAATACACGCGGTTCTCAAGCAAAATACATCTCCTGCCGCTCCACGTCGATCGCAGATTAAGAGCGAGGACCAGAAGGTGGTCAGCCAGGTCTTCTACGATGAGGAGATGCGTAAGCTAGCCGAAAAGCGCGTTCAGCTAAGCGATGCCGAGAAGCTTTTCGAGAAAGTGGCGCACAAGCTGCCCGACAAGGGCACCCAGATTAGAAAGCGCATTGACACCCTGCGCCATGAGCTCGAAGTAGCCGCGCAATCTGCAAACAGACTAAAGGTTGAGCCGAGTAAAGTGCCCGCCGTCAAAGTGGTCAAGTCAATATTTAATCCACCCAGAGCTCCGTCAATCGATACTCCTGACTGGGATGAGTTGTCGGAGGCTGTCAATGAAATTAAACCAGTCTACACGGGTGCCCAAGGAATGGCCACGTTTAACAACCAGAAGGCACTTACCCTGGAATCGCTAAAGGTAAGGAAGTAGTTAGTTCTGTGAATAACAGTCTTGGGAGATATTTTCAAAGCCTCTGCAATTATTCAGAAACTTGAAAACCAACGACTATTTTTGCCTTTTGTCCATGTGATGACTCAGAACGGATATCTGAGAAGCGTGCTCATACTTGGGAGCCGCTGGGCACGAGTTACTGTGCGGCGGCTGTTCAAGAGCACGCCAAGATTAAAACGTCGAGTACTGAACAGTTGATTCGGTCAAATTTTTTTGAGCTATAAGCACAGCAATTAATGGTTGTCTTTTTTAGGACCTCCACGTCTCACTCAAGGACCTCCCTGGACCCGAAGTGCTCGCGGAGGATCCTACTGGCCTGAAAGTATCGCTTATGAACCACCAAAAACACGCCTTAGCCTGGATGGCCTGGCGCGAACGTAAACTACCTCGGGGAGGAATACTGGCCGACGATATGGGTTTGGGCAAGACTCTAACCATGATCTCATCTGTCCTTTCGTGCAAAAATCGCCAAGAGATAACTGGGGGCAAAGATGAGAGCAGCGACAGCGACAGTGAGGATGATAAAAATAAAAAGCGAAAAAGCATAGCTGGATGGAAATCCAAGGGCCGTAAAGATAGTAAGTGTCATTATTGTCGTAGTAAGGGTGTTTGTGTTTAATTGTAATTGTTTTTACATTTTCCAGCGCATAGGGGCGGTACCTTGGTGGTGTGCCCTGCCAGCTTGCTGCGTCAGTGGGAGAGCGAGGTGGAATCCAAGGTTTCCCGTAATAAACTGACCGTTTGCGTGCACCATGGCAATAATCGGGAGACGAAGGGAAAGCACCTTCGAACTTACGATATTGTGGTGACAACCTACCAAATTGTGGCGCGGGAGCACAAGAGCTTGAGTGCTGTGTTTGGCGTCAAGTGGCGTCGGATCATATTGGACGAGGCACACGTGGTGCGCAATCACAAGTCGCAGTCGTCATTGGCGGTGTGTGATTTACGGGGAAAATATCGTTGGGCTTTGACTGGCACTCCTATTCAAAACAAGGAGCTGGATGTATATGCCCTGCTGAAGTTCCTGCGCTGCTCGCCTTTTGATGATTTAAACACGTGGAAGAAGTGGATTGACAACAAGAGTGCTGGCGGGCAGAATCGCCTCAATCTATTAATGAAGTCACTCATGCTGAGGCGCACCAAGGCACAGTTGCAATCGGATGGTAAGCTGAACAGCTTGCCCAATAAAGAATTGCGCCTGATCGAGATCTCGCTGGAGAAGGAGGAGATGAATGTTTACCAAACCGTAATGACCTATTCGAGGACACTGTTCGCTCAGTTTCTCCATCAGCGCGCCGAAAAAGAAACGGATATGAATTACATAAGCGATGCCAATAAACCAACCTACAACCAAATTAAAGATCCCAATGGGGCATATTACAAGATGCACGAAAAGTTTGCCAAAATGGCCGGAAGCAAAAGGGAGGTAAAATCTCATGATATATTGGTGTTATTGCTGCGTCTTCGACAAATTTGCTGCCATCCTGGGCTTATTGATGCGGTGAGTTCGACTAAAAATAAATATATTACCATCATTTTTATTGTCTAATAAATTTATTTTTAGATGCTGGATGGAGAGGATACCCAGAGTATGGAAGATCACAGCTCTGACAGCGATACACCGGAAATCGACTTGTTAGCCCAGCTCAATAAACTCGCAATTACGGATACCTCTACTGGGAGTCAGCATTCGGTTGCCAATGCAGGTGACGACGGTCCTCCGCTGTTACCAGATGAAGCCCGCATTGCCAAGGCCTCCAAAAATCTGCTGAAGCGCAGCAACCCGGTGTTTAATATTCACCGTCCCTCTTCAAAAATTAACATGGTGATGCAAATCCTTAAGACATCGATTCTAAAAAGCTCGGACGACAAAGCAATTGTAGTATCGCAGTGGACTTCAGTGCTAGACATTCTTCGCGAACATTTGAGTAAGGATGGTGTGCCGACCTTATCCTTAAACGGTTCTATTCCGGTGAAAAACCGTCAGGACATTGTAAATCAGTTCAACGAACGAAACAATCAAAAGCGCGTTCTTTTGCTTTCCCTTACTGCTGGCGGTGTGGGTTTGAACCTGATTGGTGCTAACCACCTGTTGCTCTTGGATCTTCACTGGAATCCCCAGTTGGAGGCACAGGCACAGGACCGGATCTACCGCGTCGGCCAAAAAAAGAACGTGATTATCTATAAGTTTATGTGCGTGGACACAGTTGAGCAGCGGATTAAAGCATTGCAAGATAAAAAATTGGATCTTGCCGATGGCGTCCTCACAGGCGCCAAAGTTAGTTCTAAACTTACTATAGATGACCTCAAAGGTTTGTTTGGAATGTGAGCTTGCTGGTAGTGTTAGTGCTTTTATCAACTTACTTTTTGTCGTTTTGCGAATGCATTCCAGAGAAAACCGTTTTATGTTTATTTACAGCGAAATATTTATTCAAGATTAATGTAAATTTTCTGTATGTTTTCATTTCTTTGTTTCAAAGCTTTTGTATTTAAATTAACTAGAATACCATTTAAGTTGTTTGGTGAATTATAATGAGTTCCATTAAAATTGAAATGTGTTCTACTATCTCTTAATATCCTAATTTAATTATTTCGCGTTTTTTGCTTAAGCGGATGCAATCGAATTCCTCTACAATGTGAATAGCATAACATATTTGGTTTTTGTTAAACTGTACAAAAGAAATCTTTAATATGTAAAGGAAAACCGTATTTTCTTCTTAAGTTTAGAAAGTACGCTACACTACTTTCAGATCAGCCAGATCAGTTCTCACGAAGTAATAATAAACCGCATGCTTTCTTCACATGGCAGCGCACAGCCCAAGAAAAATGTAATGTATTCTAAAGATTAAAATAAAAAGATTATGTTGTAGGCAGCTAATCTCATCAATTACACGTTTTATGTGTATAGAACAATTTTGAATAAAGTGGTCTGATAATTTTTTCGATTCCTAAATTGCTTACCGTAAAATAATGATTTCGAATTGAAGTGCTCAAGCTTAGTACTAAAACTTGTTAGTGTAGTGTGCCTATTTTAGGTGTAAGATGTTGTTTAGTTTGTGCTGATCG